TAGCTACTTATTATTTCATTTCTTTTATTCTGGAATAAAAAAATGGACCCTTTTGTTTTGATTACTCTTAGGTAGTCAAACAACAGTTAAAGCCAAAGCGAAAGCGTAATGGATGAACTCTTACCTTCCTAGGCTACAAAGGGTAGTGAGATAGACAGGTACATAGAAAATGCGAAACCTTGGTCGTAAAAGGCAATGCGAAAGGCACTGAATATAAAAATTACTTTTATGCAGTTTTTTGTTTGTGAACCTTTTAACGTAAACAAAAAACTTGCTTACTTGCTTAATGTTTCTGATTTACCGAGAAAATTGAATAAAAGGGATAATACAAGAGCATGTTTTTCGGAGCGAATAAAACGTTTTGAAGTCGTCCAAAATTTTTTATTTATATTTTCACAAAATCGAAAAAAAAACTTTAATGCTAACTACGTGGAATGAACCATCTTTCCATAAAATTGAAAGCGCAGCTATGAATGAAATGTTAATTAGTCTCCGCTGAATCAACAGAGAGCAAAAACAATGTGTTAATATTTACAGGTAGGTACCTTCAATTAATGCAAATAAGAAGTAATTTTAAGCGAAATATTTATTTATGATCGCGATAATGTGGCAGTAAATTTGGTTCTACGTAATTTATAAGTTTATATAAAAGCTCTTAACAAACCAACCGATTAAAGAAACATTCGCGACGTTTCATTACCACACATTATTCTTACATATTAGATGCACGTCATTAAATCAAATATGCTACAAACATTGTATATAAATCTTTCATAATCGACACTCAAAACTAAAACGACATGTAAACAAGTAAGTATACGGCAGATGAAAATTTTTTTAATGTGTCTTTTCTGTGTTAATGAGAAAATAAAAAAAATCGCTTATTTCAATTTAAAGGAAAACAAACTAAAATTAAAGACAATAATTAATAGATATCTTTAGTGATTACATTTTCAAGTGAAAAATTGCACTATTGTTTTAATTTACAATCTCGTAAACTACTTTTTAAAAATATATAATAAAGAGATTTTCTTTCCTTTACTTCTGGACTTTTAGTAAGCGTTCCCCGGGATAACATCTATAATAGGTAAAACAACATTAGCCTGTCACCCTATGCCTTTGAAAACTATAATTGGTGTATTACTGCAAAAGATAAGAGATCGCGAAAAGAGACCGGGAATAGTGTTAAGTTAGCTCTCTTATCCGCTGATCCAACTGTGCTTAATAACCAGGTTGTTGATAATGCTTCTGATTTGGGTCGAAAGGTATTCTAAATTCTGAAATCAATTTGTATAACTTTGATATGCAGTATAGTTCCTTTGTATTTATTGAGATCTGCGGAACCGTTGACATCGAACGTATGGATATCTCACCTGACCTTTGCCTTTATGAATACCTTGAAAGCTAGATTACTTTTCAACATTGCGCTCCTTGGCAACTCGTTCATTACAAATAATGACTTTAAGAAAAAGAAACTCAAAATATAAATTCGCAGACCCCATACGGAAAGATTTGATATAATCCAAAACGTCCCGTTAAATTACGATATCAATGATTTTATTAAAAATGAGGTTTCTGATGTTTCTATAAAGTCTGCTGTTATGCTTCGGGTAACAAATCCAGACGGCAAAAGTAAATTCTTTGAATCTTGACTTTAAGGGAAAATCGTTCCCTAAATCTATTAGGTCGAAGTACCGTACTCTCGCGATGGATTTTATTCACTTAACACCTAAACGAATTGACCAGCGCGTAATGATCAAATGTATTGTCTCCAAATATTAGTTCAAATGAATACAATGCACTAAACAAGACTTCTCCGAACAGAGATAGGAAATTAGCTCTCAAGAAGGTAATTGCTGTTAGGAAAGTAACTTATAAAGAGATGACAGAAAAGTACTCTACTTTGACGCAAGGCATGTGCTTGAGCCTCATATTCTTCCATCTGTATACAGATAATTTGCATGACTTTCAAGACGACAAAAATCATATTTTTCAATATGCTGTCTGCTCATTCATCCTTTTCAATGACCGTGAAGAATCTCTAGATAAAAGCTAATCTTTCTTTTTGATGCATGTGCCGATGTTAATTATATTATTATATTTTAATCCTAGCAAAATATATACAATTTGTCTATACGCGAAATTAGACTCTTTATCAAAGGAATTAAACTTAATCAGGTGAAATCGCTACGATTTCTAGGCAGAATATTAAATTAAATGATAGCCTAACATTACGAGAAAGCCTGCAAAGACTGTCAACCAATACCACCAATATCACTAAACTAATGGCTAAGAATCAAGTCAGGATTGTCTCCCAAAAAAGCTCTGGCAGTGTGCAGAGCATTTGTCAGGTCTAATATCGAATTTGCACCTACTACATTTTGTACTTCAAAACAAACATTCGAAAATAGAATGTTAAAACGTTGTATTAGACTCTCTTAATTTCTCAATGTCATCTCTGGTGAATGGCCCATCTCCTACAGAGCTCTTTTTATACCCTAAATTATTTGTAGTGCACGGTATATTAAGTTAATGCGGTCGCATGTAACATCCCAAAAAGGGTTAAGATAAACTCATTCTTTACAGTGCCAATCGATTCAGAATCATAATATGAATTGATCTAAGCCTTTCTGTCCTTCTATCCACCTGATGTTTGTCCATGTAAAATTGCGTTCAAGCTACAGTTTACAATTTTTGAGATTTTTTGATAAAATTTGGTATAGTGGCTTGTTTTGAACCAAGGACGAACGCAATTAAAAATGGTTCGGATCGGTCAACTTTTTCGACAATTCCATATATAATGCCCTATTCTGAAAAGACGTTATAAGAAAAAATATTGCAATTTTCAGCATTTCTCGGCAAAAGTGGTCGATATTCTAAGTTAGTATGAAAAATTTGGTTTGGGTGCAGTAATTTGTCGTGTCCCCTCTCATATAAACGGTCCTATGAAACTGGAACCTTCATATGGTAAAAGAAACAAATTTTCAAAATATTTCATAGTGGATGTTGGTTCGTAATAATGGTTTGTCACGTGGGTCTTTTGAGTACAACTTTATATAAAGATTCTCAGAAAATGTAAAGCCTTGTATGCCAAAAGGTACTGATTGTATACGGTTTATAACGAAAATAAGCGCAGAAAATTTGAACCGCATAGAGCTCCTTTTGAGACCACACCCCACAAGATTTCCCACGAATGGTCTTTCCGGAAATTTTTTTTTTAAGTTTTCTGGCACAGTACGGAAATTGGATCGCATAGATCTATTTCTTAGACACTAACATATATAGAAGTCATCATGAAAAGAAAGCTCTTATACGGAGAGATAGTCCAATTGCTGTTTTTTAGAACGGAAACTGATAAATAAAAAAAATTTTGGGAGATTAAGTTTACTAAATTTGGATCACGTCATGTGATGGTTTCGGCATTCTCGAATATGCGAATGCAAATGTGAAATTCTTGGTGTGTTACCAAAACGAGTGAATAACTGTACTAGGAGAAGTAGTATAGGGTATCTAATGGCCGGCTTTGCCCGATTACAATGTCGTTTCTTGTTTTATTTTAATTTTTTGTTGTCAATTTACTATTATGAAGCAGTTTTCACCATAAAATATTGAAGATTAATTGCTTTTTCCAGATTAGTTTTCGGGGGAACGGTTACATGAGATACGGTTGAAAAAGTTGCCACAGGCGAACCAAATCTTTCATAACAATTCAAAATGCCGAAGTGGTACATTCAAATTTCTAATGTTTTCCAAATAACGAGTTGTCAAAACATGGCATTATAGTGGTCCGAAATATTTTCAGTAGCGTTCGTCCTTGGGTCAAAGGACGTGAAAGCATCAAATGACATCAAAATATCTTAAAAATTGCGAGCTGTAACACAAAAACGGACAGGCTTAGATTGGTATAATAATCCCACAAACGTAATACACCCTGTACAACAAACTGTGTGGGATATAAAAATCTATCCATCTAATTTTAGCCGCTTGTTGCGAGATGTTTGCCTTGAGCTTGCCTGCGCGTATTTATTTCAGATTCGAAAGCGAATGTGCTATTTTCATTTACTCCAAAAATTGCGCTCATAAGCTATCGTTTTTCGACACGTACTGTGTGTGGGTTACAGAATTCATTGCTAATAATAGTTTAATGTTATGCTAAACATTTCAAGACTTCAAAAGGTAAATTGCCAATTAAGTGAGCAATAAAGAAAAGAAAGAAAAGAAGCTCATAAGAAAAGCTTAGCATATTTTCTATAAAATAAATAAAAATATTTTGCAAGCATAAATATTTGTCCTACTTTAGTCGAATAATTTGTAATAATCTTGATGAAATCTCTTACGAAACATTTCAATAATTTTGCATGTATTATAATGCATACAAATTGCATTTTAAATACATTATAAATTTTACTTAGCATATTAACTTCCCTGAAAACGTTGAAAGTTAGTTTTGCCGTTATTAATGCATTATAAATTAATATTTAAAGTGCAGGTAAAACTTTCTAAAATTCGTAATAGAGTCAATTAGGGGTTGGTGAAGTGACGAACAGATGAATGAAAAACACTGTAAAAAGGTAACTAGTTCAGGTATTTCAGTTACAGGCATATACAAGAATTTAATGATTTTGCTAGCAATTAATTTTCAACTTTTGTGGGAGAAGAACGTATAGAAATAAGAATAACACAATGTCAAACATTGAAATTAAAGGTTACTTTTTAGAAACTTTTCCTGTTGCCGTTAACAGTTTGTATTCGCGTTCTAATTAACTGAATAAAGTGTTAATTAAGAAAGACAGGTTTTTATAAACCACTTTTCGTCCGCTTTGTTTCTTCTTTTTCGAAACGCCTTCTTTTAAATTCTTTCTATAATTTATAATTTATCAGCTAATTAAATGCCAAACAAAAATTGGGGGTTCTCTTAATGAGTTTAAAATGTGTTAAAATCGTTATTCGCTTATATATAAAAAAAACCTGTTAAAAGCTTTTTAAATACATTCCTAAAAATGGCTTCAAACGATTATCACGGTGGAAAAGCGAACATTTTATATTCCTTTAAGGATTCTGAGCGTTTGGATAATCTATTTGTCTTAATGATTAAATATTTGCAATTAATGGGTCAAATATCTCCCGATTTAAGCTCTTATGTACCTACGTTTCTAAGCCCGATAGAGCGTTGGTTTTCTCGTCTTTACGGTTTTTTGATACTTTTCTCAGTGCTGCATGTGGCATTGTTTCTTGCCAAGAATACATTCGATGTCTTAGAAACAGGCGAATTGGAACAAATTACAGATTCATTGATGTTAACCATTATCTACTCTTTCGCTTCGTTCTCCTCGGCTTATTGGATGTTTAGGCAGAAGCGTTTAATGGAAGTTTTGCAAGAAATCAATCAACTTCATCGCCATCACTCATTGGCTGGCGTGACATTCGTCAGTTACCGTTGCTCATACAATTTGGCTCATAAAATGGCTAAATATTGGAATCTTTGGTGTATTGTTGGTGTAGTCTTTTGGGCTTTGGCTCCGTTATGTATGGGTTCGCATACCTTGCCTTTACCTTGTTGGTATCCATTTGATGCTCTGGTAAGTGAAAAAAAAGAATAGAAAAACTTTCTTTTTTAAAAAAAATCTTTTTTGCCTTTTCCAAGCTACCTTTTATCTATGAATTGGTCTACATAACACAAATTTGGGCCCAATTTAATATGGGTTTACTTTTTGGCAATGGCTCAGCACTGTTTGTAGCCATTATTATTATAGTATTGGGCCAATTCGATGTCTTATTCTGCAGCCTAAAAAATTTAGATAGCCATGCTCTTCTTATGAGCGGACAATCTCTTAAAGCGATAAAGTAAGACCAACTTCAATAATTAAATATCGAATTAGTTTGATTAATGTTTGAAAAAAATTTTTTGCTTGTGTATTATGTTAATAGAGTTTCTCAATCATTACAAGATGATAAAGACAGCGAAGTTAATCAATACCTTTATTCCACTGAATATTTAAGTGATTTGGAGAATTTATCTCAACAAGTATTGAACAGAGGAGATAAGTCATTTAAGCAACGCCTGCATGCGGCTCTAATTGAATGCGTGCATTTGCACCAATTTATTTTGAAAGCTTGTGATACCTTGGAAGAGTTATTCAATCCTTTTTGTTTAATCAAATCTTTACAGGTTACTTTGCAATTGTGTTTGCTAGTGTTTGTGGGTGTAGAGGTTCGTAATTGTCTCAATCAGTCATTATTAGCATTAAATCAATTTAATTAAGTGATATCTACCTCTCAGGGCGAACGTTCTACAGTCAGAATTGTTAATTGTCTACAATATCTATGCTTAACGCTTGCCGAGTTTTTCCTTTTCGCCTATTTCGGTGAAATGCTACGCTGTCATAGCGTAAGAGTTGGTGATGCTTTGTGGCGTTCGCGGTGGTGGTTGAATGCTCATCTAATAAAACGCGATGTATTCATATTTTTGACTAATAGCGAACGTACAGCAAAGATAACTGCTGGCAAGTTGTTTGTAATGGATCTGGATCGTTTACGTGCGGTACGATATATATAAATATATATGAAAATATGCATGAAGACATAAGTATGCATAACAGTTAATATGCACAAATACATATATATGTATAATCGCTAATATTTTTCTTTTTTTTATATTTTATCATTCTTTTAGGTGGTGACACAAGCATTTTCATTTCTGACATTATTACAAAATATGGCTGAGAAACGAGAAAATGAAGTCGCATAAAACAACGCGGCAACATTGGCAACAGCAACAACAACAAGCAAATCAACTATGGACCTAGCAGCATCATTGAAAAGAAAATAATTAAAATTTTGATTAACAGAGAAAACGGTAGCGTTGCTTGTTGTTTAGCGAATTTACTGTTTTCTTGTAGCCATAGATGGGATTACGTTAGATTTAGTAAAAGTTTTGCAACGCATAGAAATGTAATGCAATATATATGAATGGCAAGCAAACTTTTGTCACTTTTTGCCAATAGATATCTTTATAGCCGCTAAGTTTAATAATTCTACTTATACTAGGGCGCTTTTAAAAGGTGGCAGTTTCTAGGCATTTCAAATAAAACGTTATAATTGTGTTTGCAAAATAAGCAAAAATTCTGAATAATTCACTATATAGTACAAAATCACGTCGGTTAAAGCGATAACGTTTCGCAGTGTTCATGCTAGAGGTGATTTATCAAATAGCTTACCTTACGGAGCTAAATATTATCCTCCTCATTTTTGTATCATCCGGAAAGAGTGAATATACGAATCGCTGTTCAAACGAAATTGGAATGAAATATAATCGTCTGTTTATCATTGGTTTCGCTCCCTGTAAAACAATTTTAATGACGTAGAAGCAAATAAACTCGTACGAAGCAGTTTGTTCAGCTTACTGCCTAAAAGTTCCAGAAAAAGAAGTGGTTGCATAACGGTTTCACTGAGCTTGTCTGCAATTGTGAAAAACTCCACTTAAATGAGGTGGGCTATGTAAATAACACTTTATGATACAGTAAAAGCGCCTTATACGCGCTTCTTCTATTCGCGGTTTCACTATTCGCGGATTAAAAAAATGCGACGCAATTCCCATATTCGCGGTTATAAATTTCTTTATTCTCGAATTTTTTGTGACTGGTTCCAGAATCGTTTTGTTTCTGAAGTTGAAATTTATTTTAAAAAAAGAATTTAGACTTTGAAGCACTTCTAGTTTTGGACAATGCACCAGGTCGTCCTCGCGAACATGAAACTATGTATTCAAACATGGAAGTCACATTTTTACCACACAACACGACGGCTTTGCTTCAACCTATGGGCAAAGGAATAATGCAGGCCTTTAAGCTCTATTACATTAGACGAACCTTCAAAATCATATTGGATAATATGGATTGAAATCCTGATATGAAGGTTATGAAATGCAGGAAGAAATTTGACATAGCAAAATGCATCCTAAACATAAAAGAATCTTTGGAAGAACTGAAGCCACACACACTGAAAACATGCTAGAAAAAACTTTGGCCTGCTCTGACTGCGGAAAGTGACGAAGAATTTGTGCAAGTTCAAACTTTGACTGCAAACGTAGCCGAAATCACGAATGGAATAGGATGAGATGGGTTCGAACAGATAGAATCAAGTGACATTCAGGAATTACTTGAATCGTAAGATGAGGGATTGACTGAAACCGACTTGGAGGAAATGTTAAACTCGCAGCCCATTGAAGAAGAGGCGTCAACAAGCACTGGAAACGTGACATTTAATTTGAAAAATCTTAGTGACGGTTTAAGAAAATGGGCAAATGGGCTTGGCGATTTCTCTATGAACATTGATCCGTCTATGGAACGAAGTCTTACTTTTAAGAGGCAAATTGCTAATGCGACTGCTGTGTATCAGTGTGAATTGAAGGAGCTTTTAAAAGCTGCCAAGGAAGAGAAACTTACAAAATTCTTCAAACCATTGCCTAAACCTTAAGATAATTAATCAAAATGTTCAAAAACTTCAATTAAATTGATTTTTTTATATATATGATTTTGTTTTATTTCGGCACGGTTTCTTTTTTTATTTTGTCACCTAAGAACGCATCCCTTGCAAATCCATATAAATTACCATTCCGTATTCACGGTTTCTGTATTCGCGGCATTTTTATGGAACGCGAATAAGGAGCTTTTACTGTACATAGCTCTTACTGCCAACTCGTAAGAGAATTTAATTTTAAATCTACGCGCTATACGATGGGTTTTATACGAGATAATGCATTTTCGAGCTATTTTGTGATTAAGTACCGACCGTAAGTGACAGACAAGTTAAACACACTTTTTTTTGTTTTAGACAGCCTTAGAGGTTATATATTTATTTTTAGTGATTTCACGCAGCAAATCCATACGTTTTATCCTTTTTTCTCCGATTCGCCCACTTTAATATTCCGCGATGTAGTACAGCTATTTCTACGCAAACCCGTCAATTTGATGGATAATTTTGTAAATCGTCACAGTCGCAAACGTCAAGATAGGCTGCTGAAGTCTACCACAAGCATATCTCGATCGATTGAGAGTACGAGGTCAGAAAATGGGCATGAGCTGTTCCTATGCATGCTCGCAATATGCAAAAACCTCAACAACCTCGAGACCATCTTATCAAATATTTATCTATAACTTTCGATTCCCTGAATATATCTCCGAAAATTTCAACCCATTTGCCATTCGTCAGAAACCCCTGCATGTTCGGTGCGAAAAGGGTCGCGTTTTGTTTACTAACACCTCAACAATTTACGATGAAATAAGTGAGTTAGCATGTTTATTCCACTTCGCGCTGGGTGTTCTCAAGTCATTTTTTTTTATCCTCATACTTTATTTTGCTGTAAAATGCGACTGTTCTTTACATTTTTTTACTTAGAACTAAGCACCAATATTTTTTTTCTTTGGTTTTGATTTGTAAATTTTGAGAATATACTCACCTCAATCATACAGGTTTTAGAATATCGGATGTAATATGCTTTTGTTTCTTCTCTATTTTCACGTAATGGTCGCACGAGAGTTGTTTGTTGGCATACATCTTTGTCTGGAAAATAATCCTGAATAAGTCGTCACCAGCTATATTTCACCTACAATATAAATATGGTTCAGCATATGTTTTAAAAAGAGTATATCTAACAATAATATATTAAGCTTTCTTTCTTCGTGGTAAGTCGAATAACACTTTTCCTTGTGGTGGGTAAGAAAAAAGCGAATATAAGACGCCAAATAAAGCAGAGTTGTAGTAACTTTGAAAGAATTTGTCGATCCAAATGCATTGCAGAGTGTTCTGCTATTTAGAATAAACAATGGAGCAAAATTTTAGTTCGCGCGCGATTCTCTTTGGAAGCAATCGACTACAGTGAAGTTGAGAGCATAAGTGGCCATAGTTTCACTTTCTTGTATTTCGACCTTAAATATAAGTTCATTCGTCAAATAAACGTTGTTGAAGGAGCATATAAGCCAACGATTACCAACTGCCCATCAATTTTCTGGTTCGTGCATGGATTAGCCGAACTTTTTCGATATGTTCACCTTAATTATCGACGATGATAATGAGTTAAGCAACATTGAAATATTTCAATATCTGCGTGCTGTTTTAAAGAAAAGTGTCTTACACATCGTTTCATAATTGGGATGTACTGAAAGTACTTATGACGATGATTTATTAAAAAAGCGATTCGATAATAAACATTCTCATCTTCAGGCACACATTGAAAATATCTTTGGGTTGGGAGGTAGACTAAAGTGCAGCGATGTAAGTTTGCATCAATTTAGTGACACGCTGAAAGTTCTTATGCAGTGATAAATCTTCACTACACTTAGCTACTCCGATGCCTGATGCACAAGCATTCTTGCCTATTAATAAATTTCTATCATAGTTTTATTTATTTAATTAGTAATGCATTACAAACTAGTTAAAGAAGAAATTTCAACTAAATAGCAAAACAAACTTTTTAATAGACCAATAAAAAACTTAAACTTTAAGGTAAAACTACATCGATGCAGCATAATAATAGTAATACTTTCTAGCATTTACTTCAGCAGCTGTGATTGTATGGCAAACTATTGCAAAAGCAATTTCTTTTGTACTACAATTTCTATTTTGTGAAAACTTGCATTAACTAGTATTAACAGTGTGCATTGCGAAAAGAGTCTAACCAAAATTTTGATAGTTATTTATTTATATATACACATAAAACTCGGCTAAAGTGAATTAACAGTCGAATTCAACTGATTCTTAGAAATAATTCTTACGCTAATTATTATTAAAAAGTATATAATGTAAAGGAAAGAAAAGAAAATCATGTACAAACAAAAAAAAAAAAAGCAACACGCAGACCCACAACCGCTACAGATCCAAAATTCGAATCGAATTTCCGTATTGAGATTTTGAGATTGCAAGTTAGTTTAAATACGACATAGGCAAATCGCGCGTATTAAGCGTAGTTGTTATGAAAGGCAGATATGGAGATTAAATGATAGACATCGTTTAGATTTCTGGAAACAACTGTGAAAGGATTAAATAGCTTATATATACATATATATATACATTGCCTAAGCTTAATAATAATGAAATACCTAGAGGAGGGATTAGAGATATTTAAGTTTATCTCACCAAATAATGTGGACGAATCAATTGTATCATTTATTAAATAAATTAAGAGAGAAACACCAATAAATCTGCGTTTCTTAAGCGATAGTAAAGATAACACAAGCAACCTATTTTCATAAGGAAGCAGAAAGACAAGCGGGTCCCAAATAAATTTCTAAGGGCAAACAGCAAATATTGCTTTTGAACGCATTCAATTGAGTCTATATAACAACTAAAAGATCTTACTAAGTACTTATATAGCCTTTTTGTAATGTAAGGATCCTTAAGCTCTTTGGACCACCTCTTAGTGAAACCTAGCTTTTCTTGACGAGAGCTCAATGTGCAAATTAAATCGTGATCTTTGGTCGAATAGAACCTCAAAATCGATGAACAAATCTGCGTTTTCCAACTTGTGTGAATCAATGAAATATTCAGTACTGAATTCAGTACGACAGCCGTGCAAGAGCCACTAGAAAAAACCTTGAAAGCGTGGTAACTAAACTCTAAGAGATTCGCACCAATTGATCTTCCTTTTAGAAAGCCGTGCTGGAATGGAGAAATATAAGATTCGGTAGCGAAAACTAAATTCTGAGTAACAATTCGCTCAAACAATTTAGGTAAGACATTTTTGTAACTTGGCAATACCTCTATTTTTTCCA